ATCTACTTTAAGCCTTCTTAAAAGAAACTTTCATAAAAGGAATAGAACATAAAAAGCCCACAGCACTCCGTTAATTAGAGAGCAAAGTACTACTTGGCTTTTTAAACAGCAGTCACCATATAATCCAGCTTGGCTGCATACCATATCAAGACTTGATTGTTAAGAAGCCCAACATACAACTGTTTGGCAATTCTTGGATTGCTCATTAAACCCAACTTGTAAAAAAAAGAAAAATATCAGAGGAATTTCAGCAGTTCCCAGAAAAGATTCTATCAATGAATGTAGTAAAGACAGGCTCTTCACTGAGGACTAATTCAGACTCTCAGTGTCTTCTCCAGCTTAAAGGAACAAGTAAGAGAAGACTGACTTGCTTTGGAGTTTGCAAACCATTGCACAGCCCTTGAATTTTTACCTAACATTGGGTGGCTACTGCTTCTCATTGTGCTGATATTAAGTCTTAGAATACTAAAAATTAAGAACATCTTGCCATTACTAAGGCAGAGAGGCTGGGCACAATCTGTGACTGGCAAAACTACACTGTTGCTCTCTGGGACTGCCCACACTATTTCAAAGTATTGTATAACAAATGCTTATCTACTTGGCTGAATACAAATCCACAATGCCAACTTTCTTTCAGCCACTGAAATCTGTATTGGAAAACATAACCCAGGATGTTCCTTACCACAAATCTTTTTGAGTTTGACTACCTTGGCACTGTGTGGCACTTTGACAGCTGTATTCACAACCCTTATGTACTCCATGTTCCATTTGGGCCTGATTTGCAACTGGTCCTGTTTTGTGACCCACCCACTTCTCAGTTCACCAGTATCTGTGTTCAATCAGCCTTCAATTTTTAAAAGCAGATAGTAATTGCAAGCAACCAGAGACACTTCAGTCTGATTTCCAAGAATAATGGGGTTTCAATCTTTCAGCATAGCTTGCACTGGGGAGTGAATGAAAAGAAAATGGCATTTCAAGATAATATGTTCTAAGAACTCCTAAGAACTRTCCAACAGCTCTGGGAGATGAACACACAGAACATTAAAAAATGTTTGTTCCCTGTATGGAGCCAGATCTATTATTTTCACTGAGCAGCAACACAATTCCCATTGTAACAGCTTTTGCAACATTCCCTGCAATTAGTATCCTTAAAGAAGGATACCTAACTGATGGGAGGACCYAGGAATGCCAGTACTGCCCACCACACACAAATGCTGCCAGGAGCTGCTTGAACYGGGGTCCAGCATGAGGTTTGCAGGCTGCCATAAGCCCCACAGCAGCACTCAGCTGGCTCTGCTCTACAAACTGCCTGCTGTTCTCATGGCAAAAGGGGAACTATTTGTCTCACTTACAAAGGCTAAGAAACAACTCAGATGCAGCATAAAATAGCACCCTTATTAGAAGAATATGAATCACAAGCTGTGTCTATATTTAAGAGAGCTGTACTAAAAATTTTGTATTTGGTTTGGCCACTTAACTGAAAAACAAAATGGATTTGGTCCAAACAAGAAGTGAGAGTTTTTATTCTTCCTTGTAGACAATGTTTTCTTCTGTTTGCTGCCAGAGCATTTATTTTAGAAGCCAATCAAACATCCAGGGGAAGAATTATGAAAAAGAGTAACATTTCCCTTAGGTCCAACAGTGGAAGAGCATTACCAAGGATTAAGAAAACAGACTCATACCCTTGTTTTAAGTTCAGCTCTAGTTTCCCCCTTTCAGTGATAATATTTTCAACAAGCAGATACATTAACCACCAAACTCTACCATATTTGGAGTAACTCACTCCTCTACTCCACTTCCCTTGAACTATGCCAYGCAAAGCAAAATGAGAGCATTTACAAGAGTGAAGCAAACCTCCATAGAGTRGTGTGTAGCAGCCTGCTTTGGTCTCTCCTTCCCAGGGGATGACTGGAAGACACTGAACCTGTGTTTTCCACATTTCCAGCAACCATCAAGTTTAAACCAGATGGCGAATTTACATGAATTCTCACCATAGGCAGCTGAACTTCTACTTCACATAGATAATGTATAAAAAGTAAATATCACTCTAAACATAATTTCTAACTATTGAAACAAAGCCACAGTACAAAAAACATTCTCTGCAGGGCTCTGCTGATTCAACATTTAGATGGTTTTCTTAAAGGACAGAAGTCACACAAAGCAACAAAATCTCTTTTCATAGCTCCTCAACCATCCTATGAAAGGAAAAACCTGAATATAGYAGACTATGTCTCATAGGCCTCCACAGGTCTGCTCCAGCTTCAGATCTCAAATGTGAAGCTACATTTCCCTCAGCTGCACACAGCTCTTTGAGAGTCACAGCATAACAAAGATCAGCCATAGCTGATTAATTTGGGTGCCTGCAGGGAGCAAGATGAGCCTTGTCATATACAATACTTGAGACTTGTGAAGAGAAGCCATGAAAATGAGCGAGTGGTTCTGACTGGCACAGCTACATGGAGAAGCAGGCATTGGCACCATTAAAAAGTAAAAGCTAATTAAAATGGAAACCAAGACTTAAGCAGAATTTCTCAAATCCATGCTTTCAACAGCAGCCTCAACACTTTGGAGTGCGATGAAAAGAAAGAAGATGCTCCTTCTCCATTATATCCACCAGGGCATACTTATTCCATTCTGGATAACTCAGCTGAAGCCAGTCCTTCTCTACTGCTTCAGTGCCCACCTACATTCAGAGCCCTCCTGTGTACCTTGGGAAAGTACCACACATTCTAGAACTGCAGACTGCAGCCACCTCTCTGCCCTACAACCACTGCCTAACAAATCCTTTAACTCTCTGCAATYTCATCTCTACCCTTAAACACCTACTACACCGAATTTATACTCATCTGAGATGAGTATAAGCCAGGGCTAAAGASTCAAAGGCCTAGCATGCACAAATGCTAAATTTCAGGAGGCTGAGTCAACACACTTGACCTCTTGGCATTAGGAATTGTACAAGTACTTGTCAACAGCTGTTGTGCTGTGTTAGCACTTGGACATGACCTGCAAATGTAAACTGAAGGGTACTGACTTGAATRATGTGTGTTTAATACCCAAATAACCCGTATAAATGGGGCATCTGGCACAGGGTTGTTTCATTATTATGGTTGCAGACTTCTCTCAGACAGGTTACACCAAGTGATGCATTTGAGAATTACTTCAATGTATCGAAAAGAGTCTCACCAATCACAGAGATGSCTTAAAGAAACAAGTAATAGAGATTATTTCTACCTAGATTTTCTAGCTAGMACACCAAAAATAAGTATCTTTCTACAGTGAGAAGCAATGGCAAAACACCACATACCTYTATGAAAAAAAATAAAAGACAAAAAAATGGTTGAAGACTTCCTAGATGAGAAAAGAAACACACAGTGAATATTCTGGAACCATCAGCAGGACTTGCAGATTACCCCAACAGCCACTTCAGGAACAGACTGCAATTTTAGCAACCAGTTCTTCTAAACTAAACTGCCTCCACACAAGCCCACTTACAACTCTAACAGAATGGCATTTGAAAAGCAAATCTCCTCTCCACATCAGAAACAGACACAAGAAAGCAGATATTTAACAGATGAGTTCAGTCTGACTTTAATATTAAATGGGGAATTTCTGGGAGCAGGGAATTCAGTGATTTCTGCTGTGCCATTGCCAGAGCTGACAAATCCCCAGAAGGCTCCTTTAGACCACAGCACTATCTGCTGTATGAACAAAAGGGACAAATTTCTGCTCCAAAAAGATTGCAACCCAAGCTAAAWCAAACTTACTAAGCAGATCCTCTTTCAAACAAGAGGAAATACATTTCCTCATCAGCTTCCACTTCTCATGTCACTTTACTACCAAATAACATTGTCATGAGGATAAAAACATAAAGAGGGATTTCCAATGCTAACGTCCTAGCTCAGACCAGTGCAAACATGGTGCAGAAAGCATAAAAAGATGTGAAGCATTCCAGGAGGTATCAGGTAGCTGTTATAATAATCACCAACAGGATTAAGGCTGCCAAAGCACTGTAAATTTTCATGGTATTCACTAAACAGCAATAAGGTGATGTTGGGGCTGAAGGAGAATTGAGGMGATGAACAATCCTAACAGTCTATACAAGGCTAGAGGAGAAAGCTCTGACTGACCATTGCATTGCCCTTGTTCCAGCCAGTATCTGGATAGACCATYTGGATTTAGCACACCCCAAGCCCAGCCTATTCCAGACGACTTTGRCAATGTTTTGCATCAGTGATTCACACAAGACAAGATACTCTATTGCCCCTCAACAATCCTTAAAGCCAAAACCTGCTAAACCTTTAGCATATCTACCAGAGCAGCCTCCAGGTAGTATCAGCCAAAGAGCAYACAAGGAGCAATGAAACTCCCTCCTTAGAACTCCAGCATACAACAATGATCAAATAGAACAATCCTCTGTTTCTTCCATGGCTTTCCCCTAGAGACAACAAAAAGTTTCACTTGTAACTTACGTACTTATATGATCTTAACACAAGACGGCCAAACTGAAATTCTAAAAATCATACTGCCTAGAGTTAAAACTAACGAAGTTGGGGGATTTCTGATCTGTCTGGACAAGTTACAAGAGCCAGYAGGTATATCAAGCTTCGTTAAAAATAAATATATATAGTTTATATCTCCATCAGCTGGGSTCTGTGAACTTGCCGGCTATTTTTCCTAGACGCTCAACCAAAATTACAAACATCATTCACCTGTCAGTTCATGTGGTTTTCAGGTAGCTACTGACTTTATTTTTAAAGACTGGAAGACTCACTCTACAGTTTCAGAGAACCTAGGAATAAATCCACAGGAAACCTTTGAAACTTCCATTTAAACCTGTGTGTGACAAGATGATGTGAATGCTGAGAAGCTGGGAGTGGTGAGGAAMTGGCAAAAACAAAAGTGACACAGCAATATTAGGCAGATCTTAGCATGATGCATTCAGCTCCACTGTCCCACAACTCACTGCTGAAGTGTCTGTTCTGGACCAAAAGAAAACATACCCAGGAGTGCAGTGAGTTTGGGAAGCAAACCAACATGGACCATTTTACTTCTCAGGCCTGTGTCAAAGGAGAGGTTTAGTAAGAGTCGAAGGGTGATATTCAGCAGGTCCTCATGTTCACATGGTACCATTTTCACAAGTTTTTCAACAATATCCATTTCAACCTGCATAAGAAGAAAAAAAACCATTATCCATCCAAACTTACTTTGGCTTCAATATCCAATTTGTAGCCATAATAGTGACTATCAATGTATTTTCATCAAAAGTAGTTTTGCTTATGCCTTTGTGGTTGAAATTTCTAGTTGGATTACCGGGAAACATTGATTTAGAAAGCTTTTGAATCAAACACTTCAGATGTCTTGGAAATATTCCTCACAGTTGGAATACTGCAGGAACTAGATTGGGGTGAGGGAATTCATTTAAACATAAGCAATCCTGCAGCAACTGCCAGTAGAGTCAAAGGCAGACCCAACCAAGAAAGACAGAAAAYTGGCATCCAAAAAGAATTTGAGACCTTTCATTATGAATTTCAAATGAACCCCTAGACAGAAGTGTGCATGTGCTCTCAGAAGAGGCATGCCATCCTGCATGTTAATTTAATAAAAGCATGAAAGTCATCTTGAAACATGTATCACTTTCAAATTAAAAAGTGGAATCCAGGAACTGAGAAGTGGTATCGGYTCCTGAGATCATGTTCACTTTACCAGCCAGAAAACACATCTGAACATTGACTGGCAAGACTTCAGAAAGTTTTTATCATGTTTTAAGCAACACTTCTGTGCTTTTATTTGACATAATCTTTTAAATGCATTCATATTTTGTTTCCCAGATCCTTCTTTGGCCAGAAGGAGGCACGTAAAATTACTTGGCATCCTTCAGACTTCTCCATGTATATTACTAGTCTGGTTATAAATAGACACTGAATGTATACTAAGAAAAGAAACTCCAGCTCTCCCCMCACAGCATAGTGCAATAATCAAACAACTGACTGGACAGCTTTGATCAGAAACAATCAGATAGCAAGAACTCCTACCTCGCTGCTTTGAATTTAATATGGCCCTTGAATACCCAAGGAAAGAATGTGCTATAAATACACAAGGATTATTAAGTTTTATGTAGAATCAGGTGCTGCACAACTAATCTTGGCTCATCTTGCCTTTGACATTTTTGCATTATTGTCCAATATAAATATCAGAACACCTTTTCCTTCACTGGTAGCTTTCCTTAATAAAAGCTATTCCTTAGCTTTCCTTACTGTGGAGAAAAAAATATCTCTATTATCAGTAAGGAATGCTCAGACAGCTGAYCTAAAGCATAGCAGCATTTTCAAAACTGTTTAAATGGTGTGAAGTAAAATCAACTCAACAACTTTGTTTCATTTGTCTTTCCACTAAATCAAATGGAATGGGGAAAGTGTGCCAGCAAATCAGTGGGCTGGAGAGCTAATTCTTATTTTCCTAACCAAGTCCCATATATAAATAAGGGAGATACTTCTTGTCTGCAGTGTTCAGTGAACATGCATGAAAAGGTCCAATTAATTCCCTACTGCTTTTACACAGATCTTTTCATCTCACAATCTATGCTTGCCATTGATCTCAGATGCCCTCTTGAATAAAGAAAATTTATCAAATTGTAATAGAGGCACAAAGTGAAGGCAAGCATCTAGTAAATGATCAGTAAAGGAGACACTTGGCTACAGCTGAAAGTCACAAAAAATATGCCACAATTTCTAAGTGTAAGACTCTACAAAAATAAAAAAGCTTATGAAGAATAACACTGTCTTCAGTTCTTAGGAGCTACTGGCAGCAGGAAGCAATAGATGTGAAGTGCTTTTGAATACCAAACCAACATAGGAAATAAGTAAACTAGTCTAGCAAACTCCAGAAGGATAAATACCTCTCTTCCCAAGTCAATACACAGCAGAAACAATAATAAGTTGTCATAAGTATAGTTTGGGGGCAGGGTCCCAGACAACACCAGAAGTGGGGCTATGACAAGACTCTGGGGTGTTGAATTCAAAATATGGAATTTCACGTATCATATTTTGCATCATATTCTCTGTTTGGGATGCCAGTTATTCAAAAATGTTTGCAGTATGTTACAACTGATGTTGTGCTTCTTTTCTTTTACTCATTTTATTCATAACAAAACAGGATAATCAGTACTAGAAATAGTGTGATAACAGAGATGTCTCCCTCTTCCCTCSAACCACAGGAAGTTTTCAGAACTCCAACCTTTCCAGCACTGCAGTAGAGTGCTACATGCCTTACCATATCATTTTTGTTCTCCATGAAAATGCTAAGTTTCTTCAAGAAGGTTACAACGAGGATAAGCAGCTCAAAATTATCCCGGTCCAGTGCTTTCACCAACATGTGGACAATGTTCTTGTTCCTCATCTTCAGCTCAATGCGAGTGTCCTCAGCAAGGTTCAGGAGCAGGTAAATTGCAACTAACAAAGGTCAATACAAATCACACCAACACATCAAAACCAACACAACTAAACAAGTCTCTAGATACACTTTAAGCGCTGAAKACAAGACTTCCAGAAGCATTATGCTCCCTTTTCAGTGCATTTTGAAGGAAACTGTCTGTAAATGCTTTTTATTCCTCTTTAAAAAGCATTAAGAAGATTAATTCTAATTGTGGCTTTGGAAAAAAAAAAATAAATTATGATCACTAGAAGCTTTTTATGYTGTGTGGTTTGTTTGGTTGRTTTTTTTTAAATTTCAATTTCAACAGGAACCATTAAAAAGCCCCTCTCTGGAAAGGTCTGCCACTCAGATAGTATCAATTTAACATTAAGTGTATTTTAGTACAAAAGCAGATAGACAGAAATCCATTCAATGAGTCAGATACAAGCTGAGTTAGGCAAAGACAAACAAAAACCAAAWACCCAATTTCCCCCAAACCAACATCATGAGCTAAACAAAGTTAAGTGGATCATTTTCACTCTTCTTCCTCTGAAGACTAACAAATTGCTTTTAAAATTATTCACAGTGTCAAACAATCAGATTAAATACTGGTCTTCTCCCTGTTCTATGGCAATGCTTTCACATTCAGTATGTTTAAGACATTCTGGTTATAACAACCATCAAACAGAATCCTCCAGCCATGTTTACCAACAACAAAATAATTTGCCATTTGGATTTTGTACCTCTAAGCAGCTGTTCCTGCTTGACAACCAACCCTTTGTATTTCTTGTAAGTCTTCTCATAGTCCTTTTTCAGGGTTTGATTTTCAGGATCTTCATCAGGTGAATTGCAGAAGTTAAGGAGCTCAGAGGAAGGTTACACAGGCTAAATGACAACTGTTCTCAAAAGYGTTACTCAACCACTAGTGAAAAGCAAGGGATCTATACCCACTGTCAAGACTCTACCTCAGCAACAGCTTGCTACACCGGTATTCCAGGCCATTATTTTTCTCTCCTTCTAGACCTGGATATATCAGACTCTAATAAGCAGCACAGATGTTTTAAGACATACTGCTGATAAAATAAAGTATTTTTCTTGTGCTGCTTTAGTARCTTCAGCTTAACCTCTTCAACATCCCAAACTCTTCACTCTTAGTCTCTTTTGTACCTGCAATTGTATTTTGCACTTTCTAGTGAATTCTACTGCTTTTACAGAAGGTGCTGTATACTCATCTTGCATAACCCAGCACCACTTATCAARACAAGTCAGAAGCYATCAAGCTACCCCAGAGTATCAAAAGGATATCAGCTTTCTTCTTTTTASCAAGTTCTTCCTGCCACAGTTCATGTCTCTTCAGTTCATGGTCTATGATATTCATACACAGAGCTCCAATTTTGTAGTGTGTGATTATTCCATGAAATTGAGAGAAACTACATTGAAGAAATAACACTCGTGAAGAATAAATGCCAACAACCCTATATCTGTTTTGACATATATGGTAGCAATTACCCAATACTGCACCACATGAAATATTAATAAAGGTATTTACTGTGTGCCCCATTATAGCACTTCCCTATTGGAAAATTATTTCAAAACAAYTCCTGAAAACATGAATATTTTTTCAACTTGTAGAAAGACAAGGAAGATATTGTTGTTCCAAGTCAAAATAAAAACATGTTCAAATTTTCATGCATAAAAGRAAAGGTTTTCCCCTCAGCCCTGCCTTCCATACTGCTTCAGAGCACTCTCAACTCACCAGAAACATAAYAGAGATCTAAAATCAAGGGAAGTGCAAATTCTGCTTGAATTATTTCTAGGCAGGGTATGCTGAAACACTGGAATAGCTAAATAAAAGCAAGCACTCACTTCAGTTTTGAACATTGTTTCTTCCCTATAGGAATGCTGATGGAAATTATAGGTGGCAGCTCAGCCATGTTTTATTTCTGACACAAAGCTATGAGTCAGAAGCTTTACTAGTTTCTTCCCAGCTCTGTTACACATTGTCTCACCATCAAGGTTCTTTTTGTTACAAGTGATAAAATTGAGGCACAAGAGTGTTTTTGTCTCTCTGTTTYTCCTTTTTCAGTGAAGTTTTGTAGCGCAGTGCAGGAAACAAATGAAAAGCCTCTAAGCAGAGCTACATTCTTTATGTCCCTAAATCCAGGCACTCCACACTCACCTTGAAAAGCAGAAGAAAATGTAAATTATATTGGTAGCCAGTTCAATGCTTTGTTTCCAGTCTTCCCTCAGCACTCTAGCCAGTGCACCCAGGGCAGTTTCTGAAGTGAAACAAGATTTAGAATAGCATCAACATTTTGTGTCCCTCCTTTTTTTCTTGTGAGCCTCAAAATTTGAATACACCACATTCTAAGCCTCTCCATTTTTCTAGTGGAAGACTTTCCCAGGTGTCTCACTTTAACATCCAACATTGTTCACAAGTTCTGTTTGGAAACAATACTAAAATAGAGTACCCTGGGAGGTCATCCTGTCACAAACCCTAAGAGGCAGCAACATGGAAGGAAACTGGAACCAAACACCAAAGTCATCTTAAAACTACCCCTAACCTCCAGATCTTGCGTCCCCGCCAGCTCTCTGTTCCATATTACACTGTGTCCCCTGCCTAAAACACCACAGTTTTCACTTTCAAAGCCCTTTTAAATTCTAACTTGACAGATAGTATTTCTCACTCACATATTTGTTTTCCCCCCGAATCAACTTTGTATTATTTGATAATTTGGTTTATATTTCTCCTTGTCTTATTTCATCTCACTTTTCCATTCACTTCCCATTATCTAATCCCTCTTCACAGACACCACGTTACTTGACCAGAATAAGAAAAGCAATAACTGGGAGCACTAAGCACTAAAATATTTTCAACAACTCATGGGGACAAGCCATTATTTGATGGTCACCATTTCCATCCCATCTTCCTTGGTGATACTGCAAGATGGATATGTACTGAAGTCATAATTTACTCAAGGAATGTGGGGGTAGCAATGGCTAGCAAAAGATACAAAAGGGGCAAGGAAAGAAAATTACAAAATTAACTTACATCAGCCTGTAAATCCCCTTTTCAAAGCAAGTTTCCTGATCTACAGGATACAGTAATTCTCATCTCCAGCAGTAATGCCAGATGAAGTTAATTTAGCATCAAAATAACTAGGATCAGAAAAAACAGCTAAGGCTTCTRAAAGGCCAGGGAGATTTCAGTATTAGGCCCATGTAAGACCAGTCTGAGGCAGCAACCATTTGTAGAGAGATYCACCAATAAGGTGGCTTTAGCAGCCACCTTATTATACACAGAGAAATARAGCCTAGCAAATGAAACAAAATCCCAAATTAAAGGTGAACTACTTTTCCCYTGACACAAATTAACAGCACATTAAAAGAAGTTACCATGGAGTTTTAAAATTACCATTTATAAGCAGCTCTTCCAAATTATCCGGATTCCTGGCCAGTTGCAGGATGAGGGCAGAGCCACGCACCTTGTCAGGAATATCCTCATACAGCAACTCAATGTACTCATCCATGTCATTGATATTGGCAACTTCATCAATCTGAAAGCAGTCAGAAGCAAGGGTTTYACAAAGAGAGAGGGCTATTCAATATCAGCAGCCACAACATTATTCAGTTGCGAGACATAAGAGCACTCAGCTTCTAAGCACAGATCTTAGAAAAAAATAAAATACAAGTTATAAACCCCAACACACGCAGAATCATTGCCAATGAACACCAGGAAATCTGAGGAGGTATAATTACTAAAAACAAAGGATGCTCAGACACGACTCCCTGTGTCTTGTCTGATGTTCCAGGCCTCCAGTAGCCGTCCTGCTGTGYGCTATACTTGGAGGGGCAAGAATACAAGTCACATATTTTACCCTTTATGGAGATAGCTTTTTTTCCCATTGTGCAATATTTCCAAACCAAGTTCTTTGTTTAAAAAACAAGAAGTAAAAAAACACAAGAATTCAGCATTTCCTCTCCTGTCCTCCCCTCTATAACTGCTTACTGAAGTAGTAAATGGGGTTTGCATTTCTCTTCTAACACCAATATTTACCTCTGTTCCTTCAAATGGGGGTGGATCTTTTGGCTTGCTGGTTTTCTCTTTCTTTTCTATAAAGAAAAAGATATGGGTGCAGTTAAGTTACACACATTCACAAAGCACACATCCCGTGTTCTCATAATAAACATACTGGTTAAATCAAGGTCAAAGTCCTTTTGTCCAGCTGACTGCCAGAATAATACAGGCTTCTGAAGCTGCACAATCCCTAGAGAGCAAAGCAAACTCTCAGGTGCCTTTTGATATCTCAGCTTAACCGATCAGTTATAGCCCAATCAGCTGGGGACACAGAGGATAATAAACCTTAGAGCAAGCCCAGAGTGACAACAGTCACTTCCACAGTGAGATATCCACAAAGCAGCTTTGATTCTGCTTGTGCCCTGTGAAACACCAAGACACAGATAAGCAGAGTGAAAGAGGGTAAAACATGCAAAGCAGTTACCATCAAACCACATATAAAACATAAATCTTTGTTTTAAACTAGTGTCTCACTAGGAATCCAACTTGAGAACAAAAAGTACCATTCATTGTTGTAAGAAACCTTGCTAACCACAAGGTAATGTGGGATCTAATGTTAAATATTAAACTGTCACCTGAGCAGAAAGTTTAAAGTGAACTTAAGACATAAATAGGACCACCAAGAGGCCACAAACTTAAGACGACAATATGAGAGAAATACCCCAAGTTATCTGCTACACTCTACCAAAGTTTATCAGGCTCTGAAAGTCTCCAGCTTTACAGGCAGCCCAAATTCAGCCTAGGCACACTATCTACCTTTGCAAAAGTGATGGCAGAAATCTTTCTAGGAAGATCCTCATACTTTTGATGTAACTGCAAGTGCAGATTCAATATGAAGAGACAGCACCAAATAGCAGAATATGTCCCTCTCAAATCCTGCTAAAGCACAAGACAGCTGGGAAGAAGTATCAACAGTAAACTTAACTAAAATAATAAACCTTGGTTGTTAAAGAGATAATTTCCTCCAATCTCACTCCAAGATAATCTTTTTTTCAAGTGTGATCAAACCACACGTCACCCTTACTGTCCCTTACCAGCCCCAGAGAACTCTTAAATCAGGCACAATGGGATCTCAGCTAGAAACACTTCATGCAGTAGTTGTTCAATGCYGAAGCACCCTAGTCCCAAAATACTTTGTTCCTGTACTATTTACCTTTTCCTGCTGAGGCATCTCTGCGGTTCTGCAGGTAGTACAGCAGCTGCTCTACTTCTCCAAGCTTGGAGGGGTGAATGAGCTTGCATTCTTCCACAACCTTTCGAGCCAGGGAACCAATGTCTGTATTTGCATTAAGACTCTTCAGCCGAATTCTGCAATACAGACAAGTCTCTTTTCAGTTTTTAAGTATTTTTTATCTTCAGTCCTTTGAATGTTTACACAGTCACGAATTTCTTGAAGCAGMAATGATCCCGATACACCCAATGCCTGTGCCTTTCATGTCAAAGCGGTGGTTCTGAACTCCAAATGGCAAGAAACTGTCAAACAGATTTGATGGAGTGTAACTGTCCATGAGCTGACAACAACATTAAATGCAGCTGTATGAACAGATCCCTTACAACCATTTTAKATTCAAAAGACAGAAATTTATTTGCAATACACCCCATAAAAAGTGCACAGGACCACAAAGGAGTATTGCACACAAAAAAATCCCAGATGAGAAACAGTTCTGGGTGTTGACTGCACAGGAAGGTTATTTTGCAGTGCCAGGAGTCTCACACAGCTTGTGCAGAGTTGCAGTGAGGTCCACAAGTAACAAGCAGTAAGAAATCTCTGTGGGCATTAGCAACAGGGTAGGGAAAAAAGGAATTCCACCACCATGCACATGAAAGTTATGCTGATTCATCTGATAACAGAAGAAYGTATCTCCCATCTTCAAAAATCTGGGACAATTTAAGGATTCTCTTTTTTTTTTTCCTCCCATTTATTCTTCTTATATGCACTCACACAGGTAGCCACTTTAGCTCAGATTTTCAAAATGAAATCAGTATGGAGACAAAACACCCCTAGAACAGGTCCAACCTTGCAGCTTGAAAACTGAAGTTATGATAGTTCTCTAGGCTTTTCCAGTGGGGAATATTTTAATTCTCTTGAAAGAAATTACCAGGCAGAAGTAAAATGCAGATACTGCAGTRAATTCACTGGCTGGGGAGGGGCAGATCAAAACAACAGGAGAGCCAATAGCTGGAGCTTAAGACTGTCAGGAAGTTCWATGCTATTTCTTGCTCCAACATGAACTACAATTTGCACAGGAAATCACTTTACTTTTCTCTGCCTCAAATACCCATCATGTAAAACAGGAGTAATCACTTTTCTTTACAAAACACCTTAAAAGACAAGGCTGAAAAGCAATTTACAACATGTGTTTCAGATGTTAACCTTCCTAGGCACATGTTACTTCCTGGCTTTGAAGCCCTCTGCTAACCCAGCACTGTTTCATAAGGATTAGAACCTACAATTTCTTAGATGCAGATGATACTCCAGGCTATTGAATCTATGAAGACCAAAAAAACATATCAGCTCTTGCTATGACCTTACATTTTCTGACATTCCTTGCGTTCCCCCAGCATGGGGTCTCCCAACTCTCCCAGAATCGTKGCTTCCACTTCATAATGGACAATGAGGGCTTTCTCAGATGGATGCACATCTATGTTACCTCCTTTTACCTTCCTGTCATAAAGAGAAAAAAAATGGTTAAATGAAAAGCACAGAAAACACACAAGAGCAGAAATCAATTGCCTGCTTCCTGGTCTATTCAGACCCTAAACCCAAGCACTGCCCTCCTTCCACACCATACTCCATCCCACACAGCTGTACCAAAACATGATGCTAGTGGCATATTCTTGACTACTATCTCTAGTACAGAAACATCCAAGCCACTGGTCAAGCCTTAGTCACAGAAATCAAGTAAGGAAAGAAATCAAACTTATCCTGTTCCATAYAGTCACAATGAGTAAAAAGATGCATTTCRCCAAGGAGGTGAATTTCCCAGTTGATTCCTCCTTACTTTGTCAGTATTGACAAATCTTTGTCTAATGACATTCACTTATAGTGCAGTCATTTTCAAAYGAATTTTTTTTGTCACTCAATTGGCTAACTCTCAGCAGTTAAAATTCTACCAAGACTGAGTTACAAATAACTTGAATTTCAATTTAACTATTCTCTCCTGAAGCACAAACCTCTTTGCTGCTGCTCTTCACCTCACTGTGCCTGCTGGCAGGCCTGTGGGATTACAAAAATCAACAAGTGCTGTTAAAAGATATAAATCATGTCTACCTGCTTTTCTACAGCTATAGATACTTGGCAAAGTATTCTCCAGGAAAGCACTCTGGCTATGTCATTGCCAAAAGGGCCTGTCCTGCTCTCTCCTCCTTTGTGCCAACRAATCTGTCTCCATGCAGATATAAGGGTCCTGAGGAGAAGCACAGATGTATAAAGATACAGCTCATTTCTGTTTTCAAGCTGTGGCAGAACCACACCCAGAGAATACAGTGACACATATTTTCTTTATTGTAAAGATGACACTTGTCCCTTTTCCACTTGCTACTGCCAGCAAGTATGTACAGTCACGCCATAAACCAGGCTGCTGAAACACTGCAGATTAAAAGCACCTTYAAAATGTGGGTTTGGCTTTTGGGATGTGGGGGCGTTTTTTGTCAGGTGTTGGGGTTTTTTAGACAGATCATGTCCATAAAGAGAATTACAAGTGGCTCTACCAGTAGTCACATCCGCATCCAGGAGATAGCAGGTAACTGAGGCATTGGGTCAATTAGGCCAGGGAAAACAACTTCAACTTCAGAGGTGGAAATGTCAGCAAATCCAGATGCAGCCTGTGGTGTAACCACTTCCAGCAGAAAATGTTTGAAATATGTCTCTATCTATCCATCTATTCTGGTGTCCACTTTCCCTTCTGCAGAATACAACTGCAAGAAATACCTTTGTCTGGAGATACAGCTGCCCAAAAAACCCAACAAACCACAGAAAGGTCTGCTGTGGAAAATACAGCAGTCCAGTTCAACCTCACAAGGACATAAAGCTACAGAGCACACAAACATATCTCCATGCTACAGAGTAACATTTTCTATGAGATTACAGCAGAACTCCATTTATGACTTGAGACCATGATTTTTGAAGAGACTTGGGTTTGTTCCCCTTTAACAGTACCTTGAGGTAGATGTTTCATTACAGTATGTTCTCCGTTCTCACAAGGTCCAGTCTTGCAAGACAGAAAGCTTATGACAAATCCATTTCAAAAGAAACCAGCTCTCACTACACACCTCCAAATATATTGCTCTCATATTAAGACMTATCAGGAGATGTCAAATGTAAATACTCAAGCTCCTGACAGAGCTTGAGTATTTACACACTCTGGTAAGTGACACCTTAGTAATATTTAAAGATATAAAGAAAAGGACGGATAGAGAACAAGTGAGCCTGAAGGAATCTGGTAAAGTTTTAYAAGAAAAAAAGCTGAACTAACAGCTCATCCTTGCCAAAAGGATTAGCTCTTCCCATATTTTCCCTGMTCCTGGCAGTCACCTTGGAGTTCAACATGAGGGCTCATCAATCCCTGTCACAGYCAATTCCAGCAATCCAACAGAAAACTCTCCATATTTTGGASAGAGGAAGTTTTTCAATGTGTAWTAGAATTAAAGCACTCTATAGAAAWGGAACAACACTTCCTACTTATCATCAGAGAAAAGAAGGAGTGGAAACCTCCTCCTTTTGGCAACAGTAAACCACTGATGAGCTTAGCAACCAGAGGAGCCTTAGCTTAAGACTGCTTAAACAGTTTTAGGATTTCCCATATTTAATTTTTTCCTTAAGAGGGACAGATGGGTAAACTGAAGAACTTACAGCTGCAGAGATTTCCTGCTCTCTAACACTGACAAATGCTCTCTCTGCCTAAGCTATTTCTGAGCTAATGAAGTCACAAATCAATACAGAGTCAAGTTCCTTCTCCAAACAGCCTACCTGGTGAAATGCTTGAGGACTTACACTGAAATATATTACCCAGCCACTAAAGTAGTTTTTAATTTGGAAAACACTGCATTCAGATTGTTAGCATCAGAGGGTAAATCTTTATTTACAGAAAAAGCCCTCTTCCCTTCCCAAATCAACAAACATCTTCTTTACYGATTTTCTACACATCTCGAATCTGTAATTCACTTCATAAAACATTTAAAAGTACAGCCATTATAACCAGTAGAAGCAGCAATGCACTGGGGAGCTCTCATGCACATCAGCCTGTCCTTTCACTTCACTGCTTGCTTTGTCAACAAGAGCCCAGTTCAGCTCAAGGTTTAAAAGAGGAAGGCCTTTTCTACAGACAAAAGCTGGGCTGGCTGAGCCCACATAACCAGAGCTGGAGTGTTAATATCCTTTATTAACTGATTCCTTTAGAGGAAAAAAGCAAAAGCAAACTATCCTAATGAAAAGTGGGACAAATGGTGCACRTGGGTTGAAAGGCTGAAAATCCAATAACAAATCCCAGCAAGTCAGGCTTGCTGGGAGGGGGAGCGCTCATGGAGGATGACAAAGGGAAACAGGGATCAAGGAGTACCGGACTTGCACACCAACCTGGTCACATTAAACAGCACAGCAGGTACTTTTGGGGTTTGTGGTCCCAAAAGAGAGAGAAAACTACACTTGTTGCAAGGATGACTATAAAACAAAGATTCCTCAAAATCACATAAGATGGTACAAACTGAACRTGCAAGGCTAAAACCAAGCACTACTCTAAAGTTACAGATACTGTTTTAATTTTTTTAAAAATTTTGATTTTTATCCATTATAGCATTGCTATGACAGAACTAATGTTCTAAGATTATCAAGAGGGGTTTTTTTCCCGAATGGTTGCTAAGTATGGGTCTTAATGTGTGGCATATAATGAGAGAAAAAGCAAAACCTAGACAGTGTTAACAGGAAATTCTACACACACTAATAACTGGAAAGGAAGTAAAAAACAAGAGAAGACCAGGAACTCCTTAGGGTTCAAGATGTGATGGACAAAATCACCTGCAGGACAGGAGAAAGTGTCACTGTTCACACATCACATCTGAACACAGGCCTAGATGACCTGGCATCTTTTGGGATTGAGTCACTTTTCCCCTGAAACAACTGACACACAGTTGCCAACTCAGGCCCTATTCTTTAGGCTGACTGGTCTCATTGCCAAATGGACAGATAAAAGGCACTATTCCTCATATTTGTGACACCAAACCCAAATSACATGCTTTATATACCACAGTTACCTCTTCCATTCATCCCACCGCAGTACCTGTCCCACCCAATCTGCCATGCTATACTTTAACATCTTTGGATCAGTCCATGTCTTCCAGCTGCTTTTTTAACCTGGCTTTACTGTCTCTAATCCCACCCAATTCCCAAAGCAGCCACCTGCCCTATCCCAACACCCAACACACACATGACTCTATCCATTTATCTCCTAATAGCATCTATTCTCCTCCAAACTTCCTGTCACTTCAGTGCCTCAACCCAAACACAGTATAAAAGGCCACCACAGCCATGTCCAGACAGGAGCACCCCTCTAAACTACCATCTACCCCAAGCAGCACCCACCCTACCTCTCAGCCTACCCTGCCTTTGTAACCTTGACTCATCCCTAACCCAGCCCCCCAGTCCCCAGCACACTGGGGCAGGCTGAGTAGAGAGCACCTAAACCAATTCCCATTCCCAAACCCTTCACCCATCTTACCCACCCTCCAGTCAGCTTCCAAATCAGCCAATCTTCACTCCCCATACCTCCACCCACCTCATCATCTCCACTCTCAAAGCACTCTCCACTGTCATCTCCCCACCTATTATCACCCATCCGTTCCTAAGCCAGTTCTCACCACAACCAGCGACACCTCAGCCCCAAACTCCACCCTCTTCTTGTCCCCCACCCCACCTATATTCCCCCAACCACAACCTCCTATCCACCCTTCAGCAACTCCCCGCAACACCTGCGTCCCCCGCCCCACAACCTGACACACTCCATCCCTCAGGGCAAGCTGCCGAGCCTCAACCGCCGCGACACCCCGCCCTTCCCCCCCACACACACCGTTCACCCCCAGCACGCACTGCCGCGCCTCGCGCCCATCCTCCCCGCTTACCTCTTGAGGTACCGGGCGTCTTCGCCCTGCATGGCGGCGYTGAGGGGCGGCCGGGGGACGCGAGGGGATGGCGGGGGAAGGGGGGGGTTGGCCCGGGCAGGGCGCGGCCCCGAGCGCGGTGCTCGTTACCAGGGAGAGCGCGAGCCCCGCCCCGCCCCGCCGCGCCCCGCGCCGCCTCGCCCCGCGCGCGCGCTCTGAGCACGCGCCGCCGCTCCCCCCCCCCCCGCACGCGCGCCGAGCTCACCGCTCCYCCCCACACGGCCCCGCGCCATTTCCCTCCCCGTCAGCGCCCCCTGCAGGCGCGGGGGAGGCGCTGCCCCGCCGGATCCGGTCCCCTCACGAACTCTTTGCCTACAAAGGGTGCGAAGATTAATAAAGTAAGCTAGGATTTTTTCCCCCCTAAATATTTATACAAGAGTTAAGTTTCTAAACTTAAAACATTGCCTTTCTGAGCGGCAATATGATCTGCTGTGGTTCAAGCGGGTAGAGACTTGGCCGAGAGTAAGAACTGACACGTCAGGCTACAGTGGAGGCAGGTGGGTTGGTCTCCTTTACTTAGTTTTTCTGTATTTATTTATTTAATGTTTATTATTTTGGAATCCATAGGCATCACTGCCATCTCCTGACAAATTATGAAATGGGCTTTCAATTAATCAGTTTGCTGGTTTTGGTGAGAGGTAATTAAGGAAGCACTCCTGCAAGCAGCAGGAGTGAGGGCCCCTCTTGCTCACAGACATAGGTGGGGTTGGAAGGGACCTCTGGAGAAAATCCTGGTCAACCCTTCTGCCAAGGGAGGGTCACCTGGAGCAGGTGACACAGGGATGCATCCAGGTGGAGCTGGATTGTCTGCAGTGAGGGAGACTCCATGACCTTCCTGGACAGTCTGTTCCAGTGCTCTGCCACCCTCAGTGGAAAGAATTTCTTCCTCGTGTTGAGGTGGAACTCCTTGTGTTTTAKTTCATGGCCATTGCTCCTTGCCCTGTAACTGGACACCACCAAAAACAGTCTGGCACCCTCTGTTTGACACCCACCTTTGAGATATTTATATGGATTGATGAGATGCCCTCTCTTCTCCAGGATTTAACTATCCAAGCACAAGCAATCTCTCCTCACAAGAGATCTCCAGACCCTGTATACAGTATTTAGAGGAAGGCTGAAGAAGGGCTTTTGTGGTCTCCTGCCCTATTATGGCCATCTGAGCTGGTCACTGGTCCTCAGCACCACTTCTTGGCTAAGCCCAGCCTTAAGGCAGCCTTGGTGTTTTGAAATATTTTCCTCCTCTTGGAACTGCAGCACTGCTGTTCTGACACACAGACAGTGCAGAGGTGATACTGCTGTAGCTCCAGCCTCAGCCAAAGTGGCTGAAAACCCAAAATCATGTTGGAAAAGTTACAGTGTACACCAGCACTTGAATGCTCTGTCCCTTTATCTTGTTTCCTAGCCACTCTGAAGAACAAGCAAACCTCATTGTTTCCAGGAGGTATCAGAAAGGATCTTAATGGGCTGTTGTTTTCTGGAGCATTCTTTACTCTCCCATTGCATACAATTGAAAATTCTGTCTACCTAGAGTCATAGGGATAATAAAGAAATAAATAACAGACAACAAAGCTTCTGTTTTTATTGTGGCAAAATATTAATCATAAATACTTAATGTCTACTGATCCTATTAAAAACTAAGATTTTTTTATACTTTCATAATATGTAACTGAGCAGAACAAAATATTTTGTGGTATCCACGTGGTGCCCTGCCTTTAACAGAAAATGGAAAAAGAAAGTACCCTGTGAAATATGAAGTGCTACCTTAGTGCAATGAGTTTACAGAACATTCGTACTGCATATCACCTTTATTACTATGCTTATTCTATTTTTATCACAGCCATATTGTCATAAAGGAAAAAAAAGTATAGCTACCTTATMAGAATGATAATTCTCCAGTGATTTCAGCAGCTCTCCAGATAAGCATAAGACAAACATTAAACTCTGAAGCCATATAAATAGTCTGATATTTACTRAGTACCCAGTACCTGACAATCTCCATTTATTTAACTGAGAATTTATCTTATTTATCTGGTCACATATGCCTAAGAGTGGAGAATAGTTTTAGACACCTATGGAAAGTAGGTCAAAGATTACAAGATGAGAACGATACAAAAGAATGTGAGACCTGAAAAATATGAGAAAAGGTACATTTATTCCAGTTAAGTGTGCCACGATGTTTGAGCTAAAATTGGCTGTTTGTCAGGACCTGAAAGGACAGYAGAGCCTGGCTCAGCCTGACCCAGTCCAAGTGAAATACCTCRGCTTTGTAGGGATTGAGCCACCAGCACTGCCAAGATCAGATAATTCTGTCGGTCAGTGACAACCAGTTGATGCTGGGTTTGGAAAACCACATGGCATAAACACCAAAACCCACGTATTGCATGGTAGATTCTTTTAAAATTAAATTGTAAAGCACATGTTGTCTGAGGTTTTGTTCTGCAGCCTTGCCCTGAACTTCTGTTGATGTTTTGAACAATTTTTTACAACCCTTTCCTTATGGTGTGATGAGGTTTATGGGATGGGACCCTCGAGATCCCCTCACCTGCATGGTAGAAGTGTATGTGAGGAGAAGGAAAGAGAGGGTGGGTTTTGAGGCAGAACGGTGATAAAGGTGCAAAGAGAAGCTGGAATGTACAAGATTTCTGTGTTTCTATTTTTTTCTTTTGTTTGGATGATTTTGGGGGTAGTTTGGTTTCTTTCTTGGGACAGTTGTAAGAATATATTGGAGTCAGGTTGAAGAAGGGATTTTTTTGCAGTGCGGGAATATAAAGAAGGGTGGGGAAAAGCATGGAAGTTGCAGAGAAAATCAGAATAGGGAGACAATGGTGGAGGAAGTTGCATGAAAAGAAGTTGGGTGAGAGGAGTAAGGCAGGTGGGTAAAAAGCAAGAGAAAAGACAGAACTGTGGAGTGTTCTCAGGTGAAGTATATGGTAGAATAAGCACAGATTAAGTAATTAACAACAGTTGTATGCAGAAAAAAAAAAMCAGATTTATATTTTTTGGTCAAGGTGCAGACAGATGCTATTAACCAGATGGACAGAATACTCTTTGTGACATTGGAGCAACACCAGCACACTGCCTCATGGTAAACTTGATTTTATTTCTTCCTATTTATTCTCTTATGGCTGAAAAGTACTGATGCTAGCACTGATTTTTAAGACAAAAAAGATGTTTCCATTGTCTTCAATGAGCCTTTGGTGTATGACAAGACTTTATGTTGAAATTGCATTCAGGATGATTTCTTTTACATCACTGTGAAATAAAAAATTCAAACAAAATAACCAACATTGTTTTTCTGTAGCAGTGGAATTGTTAAAATGTAATAGAATAATCTCTTGTGTAATTTAGAAACCAAAGCACCCTGAGATCTGTAATCTATCCATCAAAGATTGCATCTTGCTCTCAGGAAAAAAGCATTGGGTGGTTTTGAAGGGGAGAACAGTGACTATGGGAYACTTTCCTAGACCTTGTGAAATGAWCTGTGCATAAAACTCCTTAAGGCTCTTTATTAGCTAAAATAAAGTAGAGCAATCTGAAAGGTTGACATCTAGGGAAACGTGATTAGGCTGTGCAGCTCAGTGGGGGATRGAGATGATGTTGTTCTGATGTGCTGTCACACAGTAAGTGATTGAGGAATGCAGGTAATAAACCCTGGGCTTAAAAGTTTATACTGGGAGATGGAAGTGAGACGAGGCAAAGCAAAATCTGATCTGCAAAGGGAAAGTCTGGCTTAACTCTTCTGGATGAAATTAATCTTGAAGCACAGATCAAGGTGATTCTTGAGTGCCTTCTCAAACAGCAGTGACGTACATCTGTGCAAGAGAAGGGCATTTTCTGTGAGACCAGATTGTGCTGGCAAATGCAGGGTGCTTTTGTTGCCCTTAACCATGCGACTTCACAAAAATGGAAACAAGAGTCTTCATTAAGAGCTTGATTTGTATTTTATAATATATTTCTTCTAACACTGAGCTAAGTAAATGCATCAATTTGCAACTCATTCAAATCAGGGAAGAAAATTACCTGTAGGYTTTCATTGTTTAGGATGCAAAAAGAAAATCTAAAGATGTGAAAAGAAGCACACCTCTTCACAGAACTTTCTTTTAACTATAAACTGTAGAGCAGAGGGTGCTGTTTGCTCCTTTGGTTTTATGAAATCAGAATTGCTGCCTTCCGTGGAACTGATCTTCTTCAATTACCTTGTAGCTCCTTCTGGAGCTGGGGATGTGGTACAGTAACCATCTGCAAGGACTTCCAGTGGCTGACTTGAGACCAATCCTTTACCAGGGAATTTTGCTGACAGGAAGGGCATGTTGTATGTTTTCATAGCATCTTAGAATCATGTAAGTTGGAAATTCCATAAGCTCATCAAGTTCAAGAATAAACCTAACACTGCCAAATCCACCACTAAAATAYACATACCTACCTGTCAGTATATTCTGAATGTGCATGTTCAGTATTTGTGCTGCACTAGGATTTGCATATTCCATTTCTCCTCATTTTCTGGCGAACAGCCCAAAAAGATTAAATACAGAAGTGTCCATACAAGAATGAGCAGATGGTCTCTCTCTGTTCATGTCCGTGTGTCATGTTCTTGTGACCCCCAATGACAATGATGGGGATCTCTTGTGTAAAATCCTGGTTCTGCTGGAATCAATGAGAGTTTACCACTGACCCCAGTGGGGACAGAATTTCACCTTTTAATGTTTATTAGATGTAGCAGGCAGAAAGCAGACTCATAGCTATAAAAGCTGTGACATTTTATGGTTCTGACTCTGCAATCACTCAAGCACATGCTTAATTTTGCCACAGTAATAAAGTTAAGCACTAGCTAAAGTGTTTTCAAGGAGGGGTCTCTTTTACACTTGAACAAGTCTATATTTCATCATAAATCAGGAATTCCTCCCCTTCAAAAGAAAAGGATTCTGCACRTGATCATCAAATTGTTTCTACTTTGCACAACAATAATTGCCCTTTTTTTTCAGTGTTTGTCCAAAAAAAAGCAAAGGGAGAGTAAGAAACGAGTACCTCAGCTGAAATGGTGTTGCTCTGGTGACATTTGACTTAAAGCAACTAATTTCAAATGGATTCAAAAGGGAAATCTCCATTTTTCAACAATTTATTCTAAATACTT